CGAATCAATATCAAAGAGATCATTTGGACTGATTCCACTCTCACTCAAAGCAGCAAGCAACAGATCTTGTCCTGGCTCCACCATCTCTAAAAAATTAGAACCATAAACACAAGTTACATTTAATTCTGACTTATTTTATGCACACATATACTCATATTGAAAGGTCCTGTTCCTGGATTGAAGGACATACACAATGCAGCCTCCTTCATACACAGTTTCACTTTCTAGATTTGCTGTGGCTCTTTTGTTCATTTGTAGATTTTTCCTCTTTGTTTTTTCAAGTCTTTTCAATATACCCACCACATTTGAAAGCAGGAAGAATGAAGCAGTTTACTACACAAACGCTATCATACCCATAAACTTAAAAAGAAATATCTTTCTAGCCTTCATCACCCTACATTTTTAAGCACTACAAGAAATACCAAGAGGCAGAAATGGTGAGACTGTCTTATGCTAATGATGTCTTTGTCAGTGAAGCACACTGCACGAGGGAAGCACAATTCAAACTCATTTCTTTATCTTTTAACAAGTTAGTGATAAAAAGCTTATAAAGGAAAGCCTTTTTTTCATGCCTGCCATGACATCAGGTAGTATAATTCATTCATTGGAGAATTTTTGTTTTGAATAGTGGAAAGAACAAATGTTCCCCTGTTACAGTATATTAACTACATATTAAACAGAACACTAACACCAGGTCACAGACTCCTATCTGTGTAGGACAAGCAAAATTAATTTCTAAAAGCTATTCTGAACAGTGTAAAAAAATATTTTAATAAGCCAAATACTCTATGTTTTGAGATGAAGAGGGAAGATTGTGTTCTGCTTCCTTAAGAAAGAAGCCCATTTGCCCCAGTATTACCACAAAAATTAGATAAGCCCACAAATGAGCTGTTGCTCTTATGTTCTACGATGCGCCTCAAGTAGGAATTCATTTTACCTATTGTCCACACCTTCTGTAACACCCACTGGCACAAAACATCCAAAACTAACATAACTGAATGCCTACTCTAGAGCAGGTAGGAGGACAAAAATATTTATTGGCATTTTAGATCCACTCATTCAGACTCTGAAACAGCACTCACTCGCTGATCCTTCTCCACATGCAGAGCTAAGCCACATCCAGCTGGCTGGTCACACATGCTACTTAGCACATTTGGCAGAACAGGTAATTCCTGTAACAAATAAAGCCTCAGGCATTTAATTCTTATTCTTTTTCGTGTTAGTCTGCCCAATAGTAGCACATGGACTAATAATGAGATGGTGACACCACAGCTGAAGTAGTGGATGTAAGGTACTAGGATAAGGGGAAGACACACTTTCCAGAATCAAGCACTGTAGTACACAGAAGAAAGCAATAAGCAGTAACTGGTGGGACTGCTACTGACCATATGCAGTCCCAATAAACACCACTTGCTGTGTCTGAACTAGATTCCATTTTATTTTTTTAAAGGCAGTTGAGGTGATCAGATACATTGTCAGAATGGCCAAGGTACAGAAAATATTAATAAATATTCACATCTAGCAGATTTCATTAAAATGGCAGCTCCTTCAAAGGATGTCACCTCCTACTAGTCTGTCTCTTAGATCCCTGAATGGGTCAAGAAAAATTATTAAGGACAGAGAGCTTTACCTTTCAGGAGGATTAAGTCTCCTGTTTAAAAAGAGAACTACATATATATATATTAATTGGGTAGGATTGATCCTTAATTTCCACCAGACTAAAATACTAACAGCAATCACCATATCTAAGTTTAGAAGCTTACAGCACTTTACTAATTAGAACCAGGCGAGAGAAGAAAGATTAAGTCTGCAAATGAAGTTTTAGCTTCAGTACTTTTGGTGTTAGGAACCTCAGAGCAGCCATTAACGGTGCTTGTCTCTAGAGAAGAGGCGTAAACATGGGCTATCTCATCAACCCAGCAGCTCTGAAACACTTGACAATCGTGACACTGCAGTATCAATTTGGGCAAGAGGCACAAGCACTTCCACACAGTGCAACACCTTCACTCAACCTGGTCAAAGAAAGATGTCTAAATGCAGGAAAGAAAATATGTCAGTTATGTCACCATTTTTTCTGCATGTAGTTTTGATCACACCATCTCTAAAAGAAGGTCTGAGTAAAAACTGGTTGAGAGACAAGTGGCTATTTCTAATAGTGTCATGGAAAGTCAGAAGTGTGGGGCTGTTTACTTAAAAGAGAACTAGGACTAAAAAAATTACTCAAGATAGCTCCTAGCCTGCTCTTACAATAGATGAAGGAAAGGCCTTTCTATGAAGCTGAGACTCAAAACCAAGCCTAGAAAAAAAAGTGCCCAACACCACACAAAACCACATCTTCCCCAACCATCCTAAACTGCTGCCACAACCTTTCAAGTCTGTTGTAGGTTTAACAGATGCACCACGACACTGAACTCCACATTTTTAACCTTTAAAAACACAATGGATTGGGTATCTTGAGACAGTCTTGTTGAGTTCAGAAAAAAGCATTCACAGCAGTAATACTTTAATTGCTAACTTCAAAGTTTTCACTATTTGACTAGTGGTAGAAACTAGCACAGTAATTCCTGCAATTCCAGAACAAGCACCTTTAGTGTAGAAGCACCGATAAGAAACCCCCCAGCTGCACCTCTGGTGCTAACCCCGACTTCAACAGCCTTAAAAATTAGCAGCTGCTAACAACCCAGCAAAGAGCTAAGTAAAACAACAGCAGTTGTTCATTTGTCTGCCAGACAGTTTGGACAATGAAAGTTTGACTAGTTTCACTTATTTTGTTTCTGTACACTAGGAACAAAGCTGCATTGTTTGAAGCTGGAACAAAAAGAATTCTGAACTTCTAGAATTTTTACATTAAAAATCACTGAATAATTAGCACCAATTTTAGGCTTTGTAAATCTTCCCAGCACCACTGCTGCCCTTCCCCCACCTTCTAATTTCTCTTTCTCCCCATATAGTTTTAATTTAGTAAGGAAATCAAATGAGAAAAAAAATACATGAACAGCTGCATCATGATAGCTTAGTTTATTTTTTGTGACATACACTAGTCAAGCCTCAAATGTTATCAAGAGGAAACAGCTCCATAATCTTACAAGGTAAGAGGCTGCTCAGTGAACATAAAAGTAAAAGACTTATCAAGCTCTGCAGCTCAGCTTTGCAAATACTAAATAAGGACCCGTTTGCCACATCTTAAAAATCTCCAAAAGAAAATACTTATTAAAAAGTTGTACCCTGAACTTTCACCAGTTGAAGAACTGATCTGAACATGCAGAATCTTACAGATAAGGTTGCCTATGTCTAGTCAGGATGCCCAGTGTCACTGATAAAGAATCAACCTGTTAGATTAAATTAAAATTTAAAACTTCAACATTAGTAGTATCTGGATCTTCTTCTTTGTATTAAGAAAATACATAAACTGCTGTTCTTTCAAGAAGGGCTATCAAAACACACCAAACATTTTTGTAAGATGCTCTTCTGCTGAAGAGAACAGCCTAAAACTTTGATAAAAAGGCAGTTTTGCTACCACTCCACATTATGTGAATGATTTCTGATTTAAAGATACAAAACTAGAATGCTATGTTTGATACGATGTCATGTATCCATGCCAACCTGGCTCCCTCCCTCCATTTTAGCTTTGGTACAAACAAACAAAACAACAACAACAAGATTTCAAAACACATGTGGAGCAACATGCTCTTGATTTCCCCCCCAAAAAATAATAGTAGCATCCTAAAGGATGAAAAGGCTTTGATTTTTAGCTCTGCAAGTTACACATTGTAACACTGCATACCTGAACGACTTATTTCAAATCATTATGAACTCCAGTATCACAACTCAGCCCAAATCAAACATCGTATCAACCATGTGCAGCAGTTTCCAAACCCTTGTGACCACTGGCATCTGGTGTACCCAGCCTGCAAGCTTCAGCTTTAGTGCTTCACTGGGACACTGATGTAGTTCAGCAACTTGTTCTGCTTTTATTGAAAGGGTTTTTCCCACTGGCTTTCTGAGGAATACGTGTCACTTGAGACGCACCAGAAGCCATTTAAAATATCATACAAATTATGAAGTTGGAAAGAAAAGGCAGATATGTCCCCCCAAAATGCCCATGCTGTCTAAACTATGACCTATTATCAACCTAAAAATGTCACATCTGCATTGCAGCCTCTCACAAGAGGTGTAAGAGCTGCTAACCCCCAGTACCACACAGGATTCTCTGGATATCCCAATGGCTTTTGCTCATCTTTCAGCCCTTGCCTCCAGAAGACAACCTGGGTAACAATAAAAAAAGAAAAAACCCAACAAACCAAATCCCTTCTGGTCCTTCCCAAGTCACCATCCAATCAAAGAGTAAAATACTAATTAGTGAACTCGCGCATCCTCACATGCTTTCACCTCAAGGCTGGTAGTTAACATTGCATTCAAATGTACAAAGTTAACTTGGATTTTTGTGCAAACTATTCCAATCCTGCAAAAACCACACCAGTTTTTCAAACGCTGGTTACCTCTCTGAAGTCAAAGCTTGTAAAGACATGACTTACAGTTCAGGATACTCCAGAACTCTGCCTCAAAGCTCTCTTATTATGACTGTTGCACGAAAGCTACAGTTGTCAGGAGAGATGGTTTGAGAACTAAAAATTCAGAAAATTTTGAAACATTTAGAGAGTAAACGAAGCAACAATTTGGCATGAAATAAGCTTGCAGACTAAATGGTTAGAGTTGATAACTTAACCAGCAGGGAAAGTTTTTAAAAAGCAAAAAACCCAGAAGAGATAAGAGCAGTATCCGAGCAGTGGTGCCTTTCCTTAATTTAGGCCTGGGAGTCAGTTCTAGGAATATCTGAAGGCACAAGAAATGCATTAACCCTATCTGCTACCTACTCCAGAGCTGGCAGCATGGCTGTGTGCCAGCTTTCACACCAAAGAACGAACTTGTTTGGACAACAAGGCATACTGCCCACGTTTAATTCTTAATCATTAAGATTGCATTCAGATATATCACTCTAGTAAAAGAAAATACTGAAAAACAACCCAGATGTCATGCTGTTGCACTTTTGCCATAGTCAATGACTTGCTTTACATCATCAACTA